CGAGGAATTCAGTACATTTTAAAACTAAAAATGACGAGCTGGAGTTCTGGAAAAGTGTGATGAACACCCAGTCGCAAATCAACAGGGTTGAACAGGATGCATTGCTATGCTGTCTGACCAGTTTCTGGGATATATCCTGGAACGACCCAGATCATGTCTGGCTCAACACTGCCACTTTTCATCTTCTCTGGGATTCTGTCCATCCTTCTATCCATCCATTTTTTAACCACTTCATCCAATTCAGGATTGTGGGAGAGGCAGAGCCTTTTCCAGCAAGCAATGGGCACAAGGGGTACACACTGGACAGAATGCCAGTCCATTGCAGGGCACACACAGTTACAGATACAGTACACACACTCTTATACCAGGGCCAGTTTTCCCAGAAGCCAATTAAACTACCAGTATGTCCTTGGACTGAGGGAGGAAATCGGAGCACCTGGAGGAACGCATACAAAAACACAGGGAGAACATACACATAGTACCTCAGGAACTGAACTTGGTCCCCCAGCGCTGTGAGGCAGCAATGCTAAATACCGCGCACCGTGTCACCTTATTCTGTTAATATCTTTATTTTTGGGGCAGGTATGCACTGGTTCTTAGATGTCTGGATAAAACTGCCAAAATAATTGTTGAGAAAGACATTTTTAAAACCATTCCCCACAGGTGCAAAGCAGGCTAATGACTGACAGCCAATACCAGCTTAACAAGAGCAAAGCATGTCTCTGCTTCATGGGTGAGCCTCCCTGTGCTGACTTAAGCCCTATTTTTAGAAATAATTCTGGATCATCACTGGATGGAGGCTCTCATACTCTTGTGAAGGGGGTTATTACTTCGTAGTGTTGGGTTATGCAGCAATAACATACCTTAAGAACATGCCCTCTATCCAACAGAAAACGTACAGTTATTGTAGAAGCCCTACTAAGCATGACAGCTGAGACTATAGCTCTTCTTTCCCCCAGAGGAATACAAAACTGACAAAGTTGGGAATCTGCTACAGTGGCCACCGTTTCGTCTTAAAGGATGAAACAAAGAAGTACTGGATTGCTTCCCTGAAAACCATTCCACTGAAGTCTGGAATGAGTGTGCTCATTCCAAGGATAGTTGCTTATCAACTGCCTAATTTAAGAAAAATAAAGACTTATTTATTCGCTTCTTACGTCTATTAGCATATATTTGTGGTATTTCATTTGGAAAATCAACTAATAAAAATAGACGAACGCTGAAAAACCTGAAAAAGAAGCGTCTGAACCAAACTACTGTACTGTACATACTTCTTGTATGGATCTTCGAAAGGCAGGGTAAGCCACCGTTTGGGCATGTCCTTGAGGAACTTGCTCTGTCGCTTTTCGCTCTGGTCCAGGGAAACGTACAGCAGGACAAGCTGGGCGGCTCGCTCCACGTAGAATTCGTCAGTCAGGCGGACGAAGAACTCCTTGAGGGTGGGCGCGAACTCCCGGCACCTGGGGCAGTCCCCCGAGCCGAAGAACAGCAGGACGATCCGGTTCTGGAGCCGCAGCAGAACCTCGCGCTCCGTGTCCAGCTCGTCGCGGTCCCTGTTGTTTTTTACCAACACTTTACCGACGAACAACTCCACCATGTCGCTAGACAAAAGAAAACACACACGCTGAAACGTTTCAGGAGGCGAGCTAGGCACAGCTCCGTTGATTTCTATACTTACATTTAAAAAAAGCCCGAATAGGCTTTTGTGTTTGCTACGAATAACGTAAATGCATTTAGAAATGGGGTGAATTAAACTGGCCGCAGGACCGTTCTTCCACAGTGGTACCAAAACCTCTATTAAACATGGTTCTGGCAATATGAGGTCATTTGAAAAGGTTATTGTCCATTACTGACATTCACTACAGTAGAGGTAGTTAGTGTCAATAGCAGTGAGCCATAAAACTCGAACAGAAGAGTGAATTCCACGTGGTTTGTTTAGGAATGATTCCTGGTACAAAGCTACAGAAACAAACCCGAGTCTGCTTTTCTTAAAGCGACGCAACTGTGTTCTTCTGTATCTGTTTTTAACAAGGCGTCCGGTGCTCGTCTCTTCCCGCAGTTGCTCAGTAAAAATCTTAGCAGCGCTTCCACCTTCGTGCTGAACGGGGCGAGGACACAGCCAGATCCAATGATGTTAACCGTGTGCCAGAAGCTGGCTTGCATCAGGACGAAGACGTTGGTGATGATGTTGCCAGTGTTAAATGGGTCGTGCAAAACAAAAGAACTTTGGGGAGCCGGCAGTCGAAGTTTCGTCCCTCCTCGGTTTTCAGTCCTGTTCTTTTGCCTGTGGTCAGATCAGCTTCAGCAGATGGGCTAGTTAATCTTGCTGCGTCTGTAAAATGCAAAAAGCGCATCCAAGCAGGCAGCCCCTGCTTTCAGCTTAAAGTACCTAAGAGACTGGGCTCTGCTGAACTGAAGAGGATTTACAGGAAAGGAGTCTCGTGCTGGGCGGTACGATCACCAACGACATCTCTTCAGGAGCATTGTGGTTAATGCAGGAATGATAAAACACATCCTGCAAAATAAGTGCAAGCAGGGCTGCGTTTTTCATTTTTGGAAGAATCCACCCGCTGTTGAATCCGGTGCCTTGGGATCCTTTAAGCCCACAGAGATCCTCTGATCGCTAACATACAGACATATTAAAGGAGTGTGTAAAGGCAAGAGTGTCTAAGCTTTGATTAAGTTTGCTGTACTGGGTATTATGGATCCTGTTCTTGGTTTTCTGCTTAATTATTAGGAAAGACTGGCTGTGTTTAAAGCTAACCAGGAGCTCAGATTGCAACAGCACGGACCCACAGTGCAAGAAACAACTCTGCTCTTTACTTCTCAGGTGCAGCTCTACTTTTGACCAGCAGGCGGCACTACAGCCACAGCCTTTTCCTATCTCGCTTTGTCACGAAAGGCTCGAAATTTGTCACGAAAATGATTGTCTGTGGGCCAGAAGATAAAAGATGAGGTCACTCCAGGATAGACGGAGTCTACTGTAACTGTGGGAATAGTTTTTTGCAGTCCTGGTTTTGTTCCAGATCTGACACATGACACTGATTCTGTCTCATTTTTCAATCTCCTCTTGTCATATGGTGTACAAGTCCCGAGCTCCTTGGAACAGCCACCATCTGAGCCAGACCCGGTGTACTTCCATGAGCTTTTAGGTTGACTATTGGTGTCACACTTAAAAACAGAAATGGAAGTAAAAGGAACATAGAACTGCAAAGGGATATTGTTAAGCAGAAAAACTTCCCCTCTGTGAAAAAACTCATGAGTTAAAACAACCCCGATCCTGGAGGCTCACATACATGTTGGTGTTCATTCTAGGCCAGCTTAATTACCATGTTTAAGAGATGAAAACAGCCAAAGTCAATCCTATTAAGTCAACTAAAGATTGGATTGTGTAACTGAGAGCCAGGCTAGAAGAAAACCCAGCAGGCGTGTGGGCGTCCAGGACCAGGACAGCGAAGCCCTGAGATTAAGGACATATTTTCGGAAAGGCAACCTGCAGCTTCTTTGCAGTGAGGCATGTTCTATGGACCGCTAATTGGTGGACTCGAATTAGAACGTCACAAATCCCTTCAGCCTCCTTGGCCAGAAATACACTCAGTTAATTAATCTCTGAGCAGCTTGAAAGGTTGGGAAGTACAAGCCTCAAGCACTCTGCTTTTGTAAAGCAGGGTGGGGATAGTTTAGAGGCAGAGAAGTCGATGGAGAACAAATTATCATTTACAGGTTGACCTGAAGATCCTGCTATTATCCAGTTAGGAATTCACCAGAGCCACTGGAGCAAAGAGTCATTTCAGGGTCCAACATCATCAGTATCCAACCTGGGATTTATACTGTACCTCCAGCCTCCAGCCTCCAGTCCAGAGCCCCAGTCACTGCTCTGCACTGTGTGAGCAGTACTTGCAGGGCATTGAATCTTTGCAAAAAAAAACAGACCTAGGTCTTTTTTCAGCAAACAGGCAACTGGAGAGCTGCAAAGGACATTAAGCTTTAACAGGGTATCATTCAGATTATGCTTATGATGCGATACATATTGGAGCAAAAGTGGCAACTTTCAAGACTTCACCTAGAATTTGATTCTGAAAGGAGCCGACTTATTGGAAAGCTTCCTTTCAGAATCAGGAATCTAAGTTCCGTGGTTTAAAAAAAGAGATTAAATCTCCCATTTATAATGGGGAGTGGGTTGACTAATGTTCCTAGCAGTCAACTGGATCGTGATTCTCGGGGTTGACCAGCAGAGCCTCTGCAGTTTACTGTAACCATCCTCAGAATCAGTTGCACATCCAGGACAGCTGCTGTCAAGCCCGCTTCTTCCAATTCTGTTCTTTTTAAATTTAAACCAAAATCAGCTCAAGAGAAATTCTGAAGCCCAGGCAGCTTTTGATAAAAATATTTTATTCTTTGACAGGAAGGCACGTTGGGGGGAGGTGAACATGGAACGAAATGTATGGCAAGGCTGTACACAAGCAGGGCTCCCACAGGTTCCCCGCAATCTACCGCGAGGCCAGGGGGGTGTGCTATAGGCAAGGGCAATTGGCTCTTTACCATGACTCCGTGAAAGCCCTGCAAATCGGGCCCACTCAACAGATCAGCACTGACAGGGTTGACAATAAATTAAAGCACACATTAAGATCATTTTACACTGGTCATTGAATGTGTTGACCACAGATCACAAACACGCAATAAAGACAACAACCCCCTAGAACAACCCTAGAAAAAAGGTACTAGGGTTTTTTCTCTTGTACTTCAAATCCAATCTCTGATTTAAACTATTATTGCTTGTTATATTAAAGGGTTGTTTTAAATATGCATGTTAGGCATTTCTCTA